ACACACACACACACACACACACACAACTCCGCTACGCCGGTCCCAAGCCCGGAGCTCGGTCACCCAAGAGACAGAGAAGGAGGAGGGGGAGGAGTAACAACCTCGTTAAAAAACCAAGGCATATCTGACCCGGATGTTAGCACCTTGTAAGGGTCCCTGTGTTAGGGTTACAACTACCGCCGTGTCTGCCGTGCGGTGCGACCCGTGAGTTGACAAAAGGAGATCCTGGGTGGCAAGGCGATACCGATGCTGCGTGCTGACGTGACCCGAACCACCTTTGGCTCCCGCTGTCGGCAAGACGGGCGGCCGGGTGCCTAGCCAGCCCTGGTCAATCGGCTACTCGGCGAGTCCGTTCTGCTGCATGACGTCCGCCAGAAACTCTCCAGAGAGCTGACCACCCTTAGTTGGTTTGGGGGTGGTGCTCGAGAGAGCAGAGGTGGACTAGCGCAGTAGGGCGTGCTATACCCAGGTATGTTGTCCCCAGTCTGGTACCGCTTTCAGTCATGTTTTGGAGCCATACCAGCAGCCTCCATAGACGGGGGGACCCTGTGGGTCGGGGCACATACCTGGGTGAACACCAAAAATCGAAGCATGGATAATTATATCAACGTTAAACCAAAAGCGAGCTCGCAGGTCGAGCTGACGATGGAGCGCCTACAAGAGCATGACGACGCTATGGAGGGCGGTGAGGGTCTCAGGCACAGGAAAACTGGGTCTGGAGCCCCATCTGCATCGGTGTCGGATGTCCAATCCGAAGTGGAGTCCGAAAGGACTGAAAGGACGTTGAGCCTGATGGAGCACCTGGAGCGGCTAGGCGATAAGATCAAAGAAATGATCGAATTCGCCGAGCCCAAAAACAACATCCATAAGATCCTGAAGCAGATGCTGACAAAGGCAGCAAAAATACATTCGAGTTGCCTAACGGCGCTGGATGGGCTGGAGCATCTCCCTTGCCAGAATACGATGGAGAAAGAGGTGCAAACATCTCCTGGTTTTCGCACGAAGGGAAAGTTACGGATGTCCCGGGCCCCAGGTGATAAAGGCAACAACCCGCCAACACCCGCCCCCAGGACAATGAAGAAGGATCAGAAAGATGCCGCAAAGGCATCTAAGCCAGTCGATGACGACTGGCAGCAGGTCCAGAGGAAGAAGAAGAAGAAGGGCAAGAAGAAGGCCACCCCAAAGGCTAAGGCTCCAGAACCGAAGCCCAAAGCGAAAGCGCATAGGCGACCTCGCCCTGACGTAGTGGTCGTAAAGGCGAAGGATCCGAAGTCATACTCGGAAATCCTGAAGCTTCTACGATCGGAGCCGTCGCTGCAGGACTCAGTTGGCAGTGTCAACAAGGTCCGACGCAGCACGAACGGAGACCTACTACTGCAGCTCACCAAGGCGTGCGTCAACCCCAGCGAGCTGGGCCAGAGGTTGAACGACGCCATCGGTGAGCTGGGTGCGGCGACCACTCGTTCTCCAGTGACAGCGATTGAGATCAAAGATCTGGACGAGGTCACAACGAAGGAAGAGGTTTGCGAGGCCCTGCGGACCCATCTAGATGCCGCTAATTTGGGCCCCGACGCGGTCAGGTCGTTGCGAAGGGCTTTCGCTGGGACCCAGACCACCGTTGTCACCCTGCCGGCCCAGTTGGCTGCGAAAGCTATCAAGCTAGCTCGGGTCCGGATTGGGTGGGTCAACTGTCGCATTCGTGAAAAGACCGAGGTCCTTCGATGCTACCGGTGCTGGGCACCGGGGCACCTGGCAGCCCGATGCTCAGGTCCAGATCGCAGCAAATGTTGCCGTCGGTGTGGCAAGGATGGGCACATGGCTAAGTTATGCCAAAATGAGCCCTTCTGCCTCTTCTGTCACGGTGACGAGGCGAGGACCCATGCTTCGTTGAGCAGCGGCTGCCCGCTCGCTCAGGAGTTCGTGCGAGGTACAAAATGACGGAACAAAGGATTCGCGTCCTCCAACTCAACCTCAATCACTGCGAGTCCGCTCAAGACCTGGTCTTACAGACTGTGAGGGAGTTGAAGGTTGATGTGGCAATCCTGTCCGACCAACACAGGCCCCTCACACCACCGAACACCTGGATTTCTGATGCCGACAATCAAGCGGCAATCTGGGTGCGTGGGGGGGTGCCTGTGCAACGGTGCTCCTCTGGGCAGAGTCATTTTTACACCTGGGCGCAGATTGCTGGAATTTATATCTTCAGTATCTATGCGCCTCCTAGACTCTCCCACGAGGAATTCATTGGCCTGTTGAACAGCATTGTTGAAGAGGCCAGAGGAAAAACACCAGTCCTCGTGGCTGGCGACTTCAATGCTTGGGCAACGGAGTGGGGCAGTAGGGAGACGAAGCCAAGGGGCAGGGCGCTGCTAGATGCCC